AAAAAAAGGAGTCAGCGCATTTAAATTGGTGCAAACAGATGCCCTCAAATGAAACACGTTTTTCCAAGATGATTTTAAAATTATTCAGCTTGGTTATTGTTCCTATAGATTCCTGTATGAGAGCTGCTGCTGTGCTCTCGTTAAGAGTAAATGCAGAGCGAGAGGTTTACGTTAGACGGATTGGTCAGAAACTCGACAGAAGAATGCATCACAACCCTGTACCCTCGTCTTATCGCAGCCCTCCAGCTGATGCCAGCAGAGGTGTGTATACAGGCCAGAGAGGGTGTGTCAAGCTCTTCTCCTTATTACTATTCTCAGAAGGCCACATGCCAAATCTAAGGATGATTAATTAAATTCCAAAGAGAACGGGCGGGTCTGAAGACATTTCTGTTCTGAAGAGTTGGCATCTGCCTCGGCCACGGCGACTCTGAGGGAGAAAGATAGAAGACTTTTCAAACATGCTGCCTTTGTTTGCAGCGTCTGTCTGGGCGAGAACATGCAGCAGTTTACTGTTACAAAAATGCCAGTGGTTGTGTAAAAGGGTTGATTAATGAAGCTTTTCCAAGAGTCTGCAGAGATAAACATTGGAGTGTCATACTTCAGTAACTACTGGGGATTTACTCTCCTCTTGTTGTGATCAACCATCTGTTGCTGTCCTTGAGAGCTGCGCTCTAATTCAATTTGTATGGGACAACCAGCTGGCAAATATCGTTATTGCATTTTCTTCCATTTAGAGAGCAGAGGTGTTGACAGATCAGAGCAATAATGTGAAAATTAATGTACAAATTACTCCATGATGAAATCAATCAAAAACACACAGAGTCAAGCAAACGACAAGTACAATGCCATTAGTTGACATTTACTTGCGCTGGATTCCTCTTTAGTATGATTGACTTAATTGCAGTAATTACAGCACTGAAGAGTGTGTGCATGTGTGTGTGTGTGTGTGTGTGTGTGTGTGTGAACTCTCATAACACATACTGAATTTTATGATCCTTTTTTTCACCTGTTCTCATCCCAAAGCATATGTTTTTAGGGCAAAGATGGATTTTTATGACAGCGGCTGCGAGCCAGTGGGGCCACTCTGCCCAATGACCTGAGGTCAGTGACCTGGAGTAATGAGAGCGCATGCATGGTACAATCGGCCATCTTCGATCATGTCACAGTTCAGCCTGCTCAGATGCTTTACCTCCCTCTTACACTCCGCTGCTGGAAATGTCTAACGAGAGAGAGACCTGAGACAAAGACCTGAGAGAGGGGAAGGCAGGAGGAGAGAAAAATGAAAGAGACACTCGAAGACAAGTATTAGAGTGAAAGATAGTGTTGCTGTGTGTGTGTGTGTGTGTGTGTGT